AAAGCATATGCAGGCACTAACATATGCATTGACACGTGTTTGGATCAATGACCACATCTGGATTCGTCGAATCACAATAGCACATTGCACCACCATCGAAATTGTGACATTCTGCTCTACACTCATTTATACCACCGACTGATTTGCATTGCGCTTTTCGACGATCACAACAGAAGTACTCATCCACACATTCATCGATATCTGCAAGATGTATTCACTTTTAAGCAACACAACAATCATTTTATCCACCGATTCCAAGATGAGACGAATTTCTTCTGAAAGTTTCTACATGAAACTCACTTGTTTTGGCTGAAATAGAGCACGGATTTTAATCTGTGAGTCATTTTGAGGAGAATGAAAAATTCTGAGCTTAGGGAATGGGACAACAATGAAGAGATGAGAAAAATGTGCGAGGAGCACTGCGAAACGAACCAATCAAACCGATCACTTCATGTGTGAAATTATCGCGTTCGAAGTAATATCCCTTAACTTCAATCCACTTTTGCGTCTCATAATCACATTTAATCAGTGATCGATGACGAGGATTCTTCACTGTTGTCGGTCCATCGGTATCTGCCCGTGAGCATTCCGCTTCTGAATGTATCGCACTTGATAAAGCATTGTAACATATAACTTAAATTATGAATATTTCACTCAAATTTCAAATCATCCTAACAAACTGTGCTGCTGAGTAACTGAATAGCAATAGAAAAAAAGAGAACAGAAGCAAAACTTAAGCTCCTTAAGTTTAAATCTTGCAACTGTGCGTGATACTCACAATCAGTGACAATGTAACTGAAATGTCGTTTTTAAATCTATAAGTTTTCGAAGAGGATCGTATTAACTCCTCTAAAAACGCCTAAGATATTCCTAGTTCTACGAGCAGTTCTACTTAAGACTTCCAAGCATCCTATGGCAAAGTGTCCGTCCTAAATATGAATGCTGTGAACGAACTTGTACAATAGGCAACTTCAGCAACTCGCTGAACGTAACCTAACGACGTATCGCATTCACAACGTTTCTGTGCACGATTACAAATCCATCCTTCACCCAATGTATCGCATTGTAACGCATCACACGGATCCTGCTCTGGAACATGCATCATGCTCTCCGATTAAGAACGATGGCTGCCAAACGCTACTGGTACAACACTGTCTAGTAACATTACGATATGAACTACTACTTCAAACCGAATGAGCCTGGGAAAAGCACTGAAGAAAACACCCTTCATCGATTGCATATCCACTGCATATACAATGTTTGATCGCAAAGAACACTATACATAATATGGCATGCTCAATCAGGCGCGATCTTCTCCAGATATTAATGCATCATACATTTAGGATGGATGAAAGCAACGAATAAACGCTTGAACCTTCACACTTGAGCACGACACGTAATGAACCACCCCGTTGCGTTCGTATTTGACCTGGTGCACAATCGCATTCGAATCCTTTCCATTGTTGTACCTTCACATTACCACCGAATGCACCTTAACTTCTTAGGCTCAGATGCATCATCCTATTCTGGCTCTCGCCATGTTACTGAGCAACATTCCCATTATTTACGGGTACAAGTAAATAGTACATACGCACGCAATAAGATCAAACAGGAATAAATATCAAATGGCGTATGTTCGGAATAGTATAGCGAGGAATGAGAACTTCAACGGTAGAACAGGCATAATCTTATGAATACTAATATTAATATTAGGAATGTTTGATATTGTGAACAATTTCGATACTCTGAGTAATTCACAGGCATATATCAATTATCAAAAGTGACCTCTGGCATCGTAGATGGTGTTTCGGCAGAATGGTAGCGCTGACGAGGATGAAGTGAACCACCACCATGAGTTGGCCGACATGGCTCGCTCAAAGCAAATACCGTATGCGCTCGAACTGTTCTTTGGTTTAACCAATACCGCACGCCAGTCAGCTTTTCGTTCACGTAGTTCCCCTTTCATCATCTCATATCTGCAAAACAACTCATGTCCTCGATGTAATACCATCAAAACAGGAAGGAGTACAGTGAAGATCCATTCGCCAGCCATGCTCTCTGATGAGAACACTATAATAAACTCCAACAGTACAGATTAGGATGGAGTCATAGTGAATTTCCATAATGTAGATTCTGAAAAAACTTCAGTATTCTCGGGGAGATCTCAGGGAATGGGAATATTGCACTTTCAGCATTAGCTGATGTCAAAAATCTGCCTAGCGAAATCACAGATGATCACGTAAAATCGAATTGATCAATCAGAATGCCTCTGCAAAATGCCTCGCGATCTCAACAGCTATAGCGAATTCTATTCCCCAATATATTAGCTAGTAATCTAGAGACTGAATAGATTAATTGAAGATGTTCTTTTTTTGCAGGTGTAAACAAATTGATGACTAGTGCAGGAAACCTCTGCAATGTTTCTCCATAAGCTGGATCTAGTGCACATTCGTCTATATCCACACATCTGCCAGATGCATCTCTTTGATATCCAGGCTGAAATGTGCTATTTCAATCACAGGTAACAGAAAAACACAGAACTCAAACGAGCCAAGTTCAGGATGTACCTTTGGAAACGCCTGCAGAATCATAGCAGAACTGAGATAGCGTTGAGATCATGATCGTAGTGAAATATGGAAACTTTGATAACATAAGCAATACTAACCACAATACTGATAGCGACGATAATATCTATATCAATAGCAATGACAACATAAAACAATAATAATAATAATGACAAATCGACTCACTTTACATCTTACTTCATAAGACCCAATAATGTTGACGCACTCTTCAGCTTGTGTGTCTAAATTCAGTCGACCGAATGTACATTCATTATAATCTGAAATTCGTTATTCATAAGCAAGGGATGAGTTCATTCTTGAACATATCAATAGGAGACAGATAGAGAGAATTTCACGGAGTGATCAAATGACACTGGAAGAATGCAAATGAATCGTTTTGGTGAGCAGGCATTTGAGTCAGGTGTTGAGAACATTCATTCTTATCGTTAGCGATTTTAGCGTTTAGCCTTAGAAGGACAGCAAATCTTGGTCACTGATTAACAGTTTTGCATGAAAACATTAGGGTAGGATTTGGAAAAAAAGATAGAATGTCATAAATATTTCGAGTAGCAGACGAACCAACACAAGCGTAATAGACATTCGTGGCATTATCCGGTGCTACAAAGCCAGGCTTGCAAGTGCATCTGTACTCACTACGACCAGTTATCATCTCACATATACTCGTCTCAGGATCGCACTCGTTTCTGGACGGATCTGAGCATTTGTCAATCGGCGTACATCCCACATGTCCATCACCTGTTCATTGACCAATTATTTTACTCTGTACAACATTCTATCTGCCAGTTATAACAATATTTACATCCATAATTTCAGAAATGATAATATGACAGCAATAGAACTATCAATAATGAAAACAAAATTAATAAGACCTTCATATCCCATATTGCACGTGCATGAATATGATCCAGGTGTATTGACGCAGTTAGCATTTGCTGAACACGGGTGACCAATACATTCATTTATATCTGCAATATTCTCAGTACTGAACGTCAATAAATACCTATGATAACATCTTATATATTGCTTGGTGCTGTTCTTTTCATATTAACATTAACCTTTCCAGGTTAAGTTTCTGATAGAATATGGGATTTCATCCGTAGTTCACACATCAATCCAATAAAATGAAGCTTTACCAATGCATTTGTGTCCATTAGGTTCCAACTTGAAACCTTGCATACAGTCGCATCGGTAACCACCAGGCAAGTTATTACAATGATGACCAACACACACCGCATTTGTTTTATTCAAGCATTCATTTATATCTGAACTATTCAATGTTAACAATTTCCATGGAACATTAATAGCCGCCACTCTTTAAGGATGTCTATCTGTTTTGATCGACTTCATATCATCTCACCGTTTCATGAAAGCATGCTAATGCATGTTACTAGCGATTTCAATTTCGTTCTGGATCCGTCAAAATACCACTCAGTTAATCCACTGAACAATATTACATACTTCTTGATGTACTTAGGNATAATCTAGACCTGCACAAGAATAGTCATTCAATCCGGTTGACATGAATCCTTCTTTGCAAACGCATAAGAACGATCCATCCGTATTACGACACATTGTCGTTGACATATCGCACTTGTTCAGACGGGCACTTGAGCATTCATCAATATCTGCAATCAACTTCGTCTTGATAACCGCTTTAACTTTAACTTTTGTTTGATTCGATTTCAATTCTCATGCTCGAAAAGCTCTGAATCCAAATGCACGGCATCAACTTCTTAGTTTTGCTTTGAAGCAAATACACTCCACGAACACGATACTCCTTACTGAATTGAAATGGCTAGTCATTGTGAGTTCGCTCAAATGGAGACCAGCAATGTGGCCGATATTGTAAGCAACTGTCTGAAAGGCCAAGAAAATGGGCTACTGATCACGGAAATCAGCGAATGCTTGAGTTTGAAAAAAAAAGAAGTGATCGGATCAAATCACTAGCTTAGTTAGTTTCGGTTCAATGAACAAGATCAGTGAATCACCTATGCACATTCCGGGCAGTCCTTCACCTTCATAACCCTGATTACACTGACATTTGTATGATCCTTGTGTGTTTATGCATATTGCATTCTTATCACACGCCATATCGCCCATTAGTCTACATTCATCAACATCTGCAACCATATTGTCGCTTGTCATTAGCATTGCCGTCATTATTTTTATCACTATTAGTCAGTGGTTCTCATACGGGGTGAAATTACCCAATTTGGATAATTTGGAGGTTTCAAGGGGTAATGGAGGGATCGAGAAATTTGTAG